TATATTTAGGGTTCAAATCCCTGCACTCAAAGCCATCTTCACGAACCTTAGCTCCAGGACTTCAGAGTCTAAACCTTGTATCTAGTTATGGATTCCTAAAGCACAAGACAAGCAAGAAGTTGGGGGGTTTTTTGGGGGGGTTTTTGGTTGTCATTTTAACCAAACACCACTAATTTAAGAGAGATGAATTGCAACTACTATGTTTGCAATGTGCCACTCTTTAAAAAAAAAAAAAAAGGAGGGAAAGCTAGTGTGCTCCAGAGATTTACACCCCCAAACCACTTATTCTTCACTTTACAGTAAAACCTGATAAACCCACCTGGCAGTACCAGACCTTGGGAAGTCTGAGAGGAGCGAGGTTCTTACAGGCTGTTCATGCCCAACTTCTAAGATTCCATGGGATCCAGGCTTCACCAAACCCGTGCCTTTGCCAAGACACGTATTTGGGCCCAAATCCTGTATTGGACCCTCAATCTAATCCAATTATTCTCTCTGTCTTAAGTTACACAACATGAGAGGAAACTTATGAAAAACCTCTCATGCACCATCCTCGCATGTATAGTTAAACCCCAGAAAAAGCTCTGTATTTAGAGAACCAGAACTTTACCTGTCAGAATTTCCCCCCCAAAAGTTGACTGTTCAACAAGATTGTTTTTCCCCCTAGTTTTCATTTTTGAAGTCGGATGATACGGTTATGCTTTTCAGCTTTGGCTTTTTCTTTCACCTCATTCTCCTCCCCTCTTTTCACTCATTCCTTTCTTACTGCCCTTTTCCATTTTGCTTCTGAAGAAAGATGATGGAGAGAAGGTCGGGAACCGAAAACCCACCCAAACACCAAATTTATTTGTACCGGCCTGAACTTAAACGAATACAGACTTTATTTCCTTGCAAAACAGGACAAAGGCATCCTCGCTGGGACCTGGGGGAACTTACCCTCAGCTTGCAGGATGAGCTCAGTGCTTTGCAAAATTATCTAAACAGTGGGTACAATAAAAGGTGGGTCCCAGCCAGAACTCCGGATATGAGCACTTTCCATCCCTGTAGGGGAGTTCGGATTTCGACATCGGGGCTTGTTCCTTGCTGTTAGAACTGGAAGCTGAACACCCCCGAACATCAGCAAGGTTGAACCCCAAGGGCACACGTCTCCGATCCGACTCCTCCGGTAAGTGACAAGAAGTCCCGGGACAGGAGATGTCGGTGCCTGGGTGACATAACAGCCAGTGGCATTTTCAAGAAAGAAAACTATCTTCAGGACCAGTGCAAAGGCGCTCGGGAAGCCCTTTGCTGTCACTGTGGATAAGAGGAAGCCTGTTTGTGCAGAATTCCTCAGTACTGATGCAGGCAGCGGTACACCTTGGCCACACGGCTGAACAAGGGCGTCTAAAATGAGACTCGTCATGTTTTTCTGTCTCGGGAGCATGCAGCACATACAACTCCCAGCCGTAAGAGCTGGGCATCACTGCAGCCCCTTCAAAGGCTAAACTCAAACAGCCAGGCTTTCTCCAGCCCAGCCTTGAAGCCTATCTCAGCTCAGCCCAAAGCAAAGGGGAAGAGTTGCTCAATTCTTTGCATTTCGGTGACAAGACCAAAAATAAGCCTAACGGAGGAAAATCTTAAAAGGAGCCTACCATCAATGGCTGGGATCAGTATATTCAATTCTACTAGAATTTGTAGATGGTTTTCTTCAGCTGCAGATGTAACACAGAACAGAAAAGAAGTATGAAAGGATTTAGCCAAGACATAATTCAATGGTTTTACCATTTCTCCCCTGCTGTTTTCTTTCCATCCAAACACACGCATTCAGAACGTGCTTTCCATGAACATTCATAAGAGATTATCAGGAAAAGTCAGTGAAAGTAATTCAGTGTGAACAAGTGTCAAACAGCATTTCAAAGAGCTGATTTTGCACTTAAATAATCACATTGAAAAATAAGATGCTAAGATTGCTACTCATCCAAAAGAGGAGCAAAAACATCTTCAGTGCCTTATGGACTCATTAAAAACTAGCCCAGACAGCTAGAGTATTGCATTTTTACCCAGATTGACTCATAAGTGATTAGAATGGGATTAACAAAAAAAAAAAAAACAACCCACAAAAAACCACGGGAACTGTTCCCACTGCAAAGTGGGGCTGAGTCAGAAAGAGTGATTTTCATCTGGGAAGTAGGACATGTCATTCTGTAAAGCTTATTTTACTCTTTGCTGGAAAATTACCAGCTCTGTTTTGCTTGTGATTTAGAAACATATCTTTAAAAGTTTTGAAATTTTGTATTTTCATATTTCTCCGTTCCACTGGCTAGCACAGAAACACAGCACACCATTTCAATTTCAGGGCAAGAAAGTAGGTTTTTTTTTCCTGTTTGTACTTTTCTTTCCTCCCCGCCATGTAGATTTATCAAAATTCCTCAAATTAGACAAATCCACTGGCTGTCAAATGCAAAAAAAACCCCCAAACCCACAAAAACCCCACAAACCCCACACATTACCCATTTTATGGAACACATTTGCTTGGAAGAAAAGCTATATACTGAAATTTCTAAATGCTGTGTTTAAAATACATGTCTGAACATTTTTTTTTTTTTTAATTCACTGGAAGATGTTTCCACTTTGAACTCAAAGAAGTTAAAATATCGTTCATGCCTTCCCTGATGGTCAGTTTTTATGTTTCTGGATTGAACTGCACAGAAAATTTGATTTCACAAACTGCTTCGGGCTTCCAAATAAACCTAACACAGACTCTTGCAGACTTTTTTTTGCGATCTAACGGTGAAACTCATTAGACAAATTATTTCCAGTAAATTGCTCTCTTCACCCTCACCAAGTACTGCTGCATTTAAGACTTGTGGAAACATTTTATTTTGAGATAACAGTGCTGTTGCTACTATCCAAGAACAATAGAGGATGAATCTAGATTTCATACACCATCTAATCTAATTCCTGTATAAACAGGCCATAGGCCTTTTTTAAATTAAATGCCATTTCAGGTCCAATAGATAGGGTTGAACTAAAGCACAGTTCTGGACAAAAAAAAAAAGACATCCATAGATAAAGAATGTGCAACAACATACTGTATCATAACTCCGGCCAAGCGCCAAAATCCTGCCCCACCACGCTTGCCTCTCGCTGTGCCTGTCATGAGTATGCCAGGGCTCAGGGGGAAGAACAATGGTTCAAAGACAAACAAATTTTGACACATTTTAATGGCAGAGGAAAGACTTTGTAGCTCACAGCCTGCATTTTCAACACAACGGGCAAGAGGGAAATCTTTTATCGCCTCTCGCTCTCTCTGCCATAAAAAAAGAACTAAACGGCGTCAAATGCCTGTGATTTTCAAAGTTTCTTGCAAACGAGCGTTGCCCAACTTTGGTGATTTTTGTGGGTTTTTTTTTTTTTTTTTTAGGTTTAGGTGCAAACCTGTAGATGCCTTTGCAAAGTTGATTACTGTGTATTAAGTACTCAGCAATGCACAGTGAGTGGAGCAATGTCCCGCCCTGGCTTCGCCGAAGTCAGCTGCAGTTTCGCCACGATGGAGATGCCATTGCAGAGCTAACACGGAGGTGGAACCAAAGTCTTCCAAACACCACTGAGCAAGAAACTGGGGCGGGGGGGGGGAATTAAAAAAATCCTTTCTCCCCGCTCAACGCTCCTTGGATAAGTCACTTGAGATCTACGTGTGTGAATTGTTACCACCACCCCAAAAAAGGGATATTAAGAAATCATCTTCACAGGGTCACAAAGAGCCATTTATTGCATGTCCAGAGATAACTGCAGGATGGGAGGTGACAGAAAATCTCTCCTCCTGACACATTCATATGCACCCAGTGACAAGCTGGCATTAACAACACCCCTCACCTACCTCAGCAAGGTGCCATTTTCTCCAAGTTTTGTTAGAACAGAAAAACCTAGCCCAGAAAAATCTCTGTCTAGCATTCTGAAAGAGAAACAACAACAACTGTTTGATTTATATATTTAATTTTTAATTAAAAAATAAAGGTTATCTTAATACATCTCTTGCAGCCTTTGGGCAAAATGCACCCTTAACAAGACTTTATGAAACATGATGCACATCTATTCTTGGCACACATCTTCAACAAACGCGAACTTTCTGCAGCAACTTCTTAAATCCATCGTTCTCCCCAAACCCTGAAAACATTTAAACATTCCTTAAAAAAAACCCTACAAAAATTAGAAGTGGGCCCAAAGCAAAAATCCCAGATCCAAGCATCCCAAAGCTTTTGGAGCAGACTCAAATCCAAACCCTCATCTCATTCAAAGTTTTATCCTGGATCACTGCAAATTCACAGACACGGCACCCCAACAACCAAGAGAGATGGAATCTGAATGCTGACCCGGGTACGAATCTCGCTGCGGAAGCTTGGAGCTTTACACTGGGCCAAAGCAAACCTATGGGTCTGAACTCCTTCCTAAAACTGTTTAAGTTGGGCCTAACAGAAATAAGTGCTGGTTACACGATGAAAGGGGGCTCTCGGAGCTCCCCGTTTCTTAGCGGTCCTTGATCTGGGACCAGACCAAGTACTCTGTCCGTTTGCACTACTTTAAAAGGCAAGGATAGAGTCAAGCGAACTCACTGAACCCTCCAACACAGTCGTATCGCTACACATGTGCCTCCCGCAGCATGAAAGGAGCCCTGGCCTTCTCCTTTACTTGCCAGGGGCTGTCTCAGGTTTCTAGTCGTGGTTTTCTCTGGAAACACGCTCAGGCCTCCGACACTATCTGTGGGAAGGCTCACGCACGCTGCCGGAGGGACGGGTCGTCACCACTCACACGGGATGTCTTTGCTCCACCGTGGCCCATGATGGCTGATTCCCAAAGGCACAAAGTGACCAATCTTTAGACTTATACACAAGGCCTACATATATATATATATTTATATATATATGTACACACACACAATTACATACATATTTAAATATATATATACACATATATATATTTGGTTTTGGATTTTCCCTTTTATCTTTTTTTGCTTTTCCTTTTTCCCCTTTCCCTCCTTGCTTTCCCTCTTAACTTAATGGCGTAGTCTCCTCTGAGGAGGACTCTGGTATATGTTCTGGAGACTTCTCTGCCTCCAAAGAGACTTCTGGCTTCTCCTCTGTCAGTTTAGGCTCCTCGGGAGCTTGAGATCCCTCCAGCTCCTGACTCTGCGCCTGGCTGTTCATTTTCTCCTCTGCTTCAATTTCCTCCGAGGTGGGAATGGAGTTTTTCTTTGGACGGCCTTTGGGCTTTGTCGGAGCCTCCTGTCCACCTTTCAGTACCTGGAGCAAAGAGATGAACCATCAGGATCAATCTGAACTCTGCTGCTGTGAGACATCCTTTAGAGAAGGACGAAACTCGGCTTTGACCTCAAAGTTAATCCATGACTTGGTCATGGATTTTTTTCAGCCTTATAGAAATGCCCTGCATTCATGGAGTGAATATTTGTATTTCATATAAATAAATAAAATGAAATGCAAACATTACCAGCAAAGGACACCCAAAACTCTGGAGTTGTCCAAGTCAGTTCCTATGGGAGGCCCAAAAGCAACCTATGCACACAGTCCTCAATGCTACAGAGAAGATTTTATGCAGAATTCAGTTCTTTTCCTGAGTGTTTGCTTTATTGAAAGCCCAAGTAAGAACAGTCATAAACCTTAGCCAGGATTTCCTCCGACTGCCATTCCTCCAGCCTCTTTGGCATCTGAAATAGCCTTTTTTTTTTTTTTTTTTAAACACCTGCATTATAATACATGAGACCTCTCTCACCTGTGTACAAGGTGGGAGTCAGCAAAACAGGTCTGTTGCTGTGTTTAATTCCCTCTCCCTTCACACCGTCACTGCAACAACAAGACACTTCCAACCAACGATCAGTACCCAAGCTAATCCCAAATTTGTTTTAAGTGGCAGCAACTTCTGCAGGTGTCACATACATTCAAAGATATAGTCTAGAACTGCATCTCCTCTCCCAGATCAGAACACATAAACATCTCCACTGCAGAATGTCACAGCATCATGGTTCCCACCACGATTTATCGGACAGTTGTCCTTTCTAAAAGCATTTTAACTGGAAAAGGGCCATGAAGCCGAGAAGAAGTAAAAGAGGTGAAAGGAAGATATGAACAGCAAGAATTAATGATACTAGCTCTCAAAACTGCATTGGTTTCCATGGAGCAATACAATCTTTTTTGTCTATGCACATAACCAGTCCCACAAACATTAAGAACACAGGAACGCCAAAAATGTAGAGGGAGATATTTTGGTTCTTCCCTCTGTTCTATTCTAATTTCTTTCATCCCTTTGCCTTGTATTCTTCCTACTGCCTATGGTCCCTCTAGCCCACCACATATGTTGCAATATAAATTTTTTTTAAAAGGAATATGTTTCTAAAAAAAGAGATCAAAAATAAAACAAAATTTGGTATAAATAGACACAGGGCACTGACAGCTCAGCTTCCAAATCTGCTCTTTTGAAATCAGTTTTTAAGGACCATGGAGAAATGGTATAGCGAACCACTTACCATTTTCTTCCACTTCATCCTACGGTTCTGGTACCACGTCTTCACCTGGAGCTGAGTCAGCCCCAACGACTGGGCTAAGTCAAGCCTGGGAGAGAAGACAGACATTGAAATGAGTTTACAGATGACAAGAAGAGCTCAGGTGCCAGGTGCAGCCAAACCAGCGCTGTCAGAGCATACAACAGTGGGACCGCCAGAAAAGATGGCCATTTGTCTCTTTAATCTGTTACTTTGAGAGAAGGTCAGACAAAAGTGGTAAACCCCTGTGAATTTAGGATGTAGAGAGAGATGCTCTGATGGAAGAAACAGGAATATTTAGGTGTTTGCAGCTATCTGTTCTCTTGTCTTCTCTGTGACCACTGGACAAATGAGCAAGCCCAGAAGTTTCAGAAGTTTGCCTGCCCTCTTTAAAACACAAGCCTGCTTGTACTCCAAACGCTGATGCTCCACGTTTCTATATGAAGCAGGGAGCTACTGGTACACCGCATCCCTGAAAAACAGGTCTATGGTGTCTGAAGCAAACACGTAAGAACCAAGACACCCAGCATCAGTCTGCCTTTGAAAGTGCTGCTCTTTGTATCGTATTTCTTCTTCACTACCTACATAATGGGGATAATAATACTTTCTCATTTCTCACAGAGTAGTAGTACATCTACATTATTAATTTCTCATGCATTCTGCTATTATAGGCAATTTAGGCTTATAAATGAATTTATTGTTTGCGTGTTTAGCTTAAGGGTATATGTGGCAGACAGCCCATAATGCTGATTCATCCTCCACAAGTCTCCAACCTGTGCAAGTTAATCTGAAACCATTCATTATTTCTATATTAAAACCCAGGATATGAAGCAAATGCAGCTCAGAGTAACTCTTTAGCCTTCCCCACAGGTGACAGCGCCGTGCATCTGGCGGTGTTGTAATGGAGTTGCACAACGGACGGAGTTGGAAATCCTCAACAGCGCTGAGCAAGTGCCCCACAGAATCATGCAAGTCCTGCAGGTGGGACAGCTCAAACTCAGAGTCACATTCCAAGCTGTTCTGGGTTGTGTGAACTTTTTGGAAAATATTTCCCCACCTTTGGATGGGGAAACACATTTGTCAATGCCAAGTTTTTCATAATAAACTTTTGTTTCAGCTGGGCTCCTAGGGCAGTCAGACTCTCTCTTACATTTACAAACACCTACGTACCCCACACCAGCTCAGTGTGCTCAAACGCACCCTCATGCTCTTCCCCCGCTTTGGATTCACTCTCAGACCTACAGGCTTGGTTTGCCTTGCTGCCTATGCCACGACTTAATGTCTGTGAAATATTCCATTGACTTAAAGATACTACAACTGAGAAGCAGAATCTAGCAGAGGCATTATCCCGTCATACTGCACTCCCTTACTACTAATAAACCAGGTGCTTCAGTTGCCCTCCAAGCGGTATAATCTTGTGTGCATGCCAAAAGCTGCGGGAGTGAATGCAGATCGCAACCCACTGCTTCATCATCACGTTTCCAACCCTGAGTTAACAGAGAGAAACACTGCTTGACTAACTCTTGCCTTAGTGCACGCCTTGTCACACTTTGATTACCTGAAACCAGTTACCACCTTTTGCCACACACATTAGCATAACCAGTATTGCCTAGAAACCTGAGGCAACAAACAGAGGGGAAGTGGTACATGGACAGGAATTGCTCATCACCCTCAAACATGTACAAAGCCAAGGAACAGTCATACCGTAAAATTAATTAACAGCCTTAAGTGCTTCATCAGCGGTGTCAACCATCTGGTTATGTGAAGCTGTGAGGAATCAGTACAGGAGTATTAGGAACTCTGAAACTGTATGAGACAGCCTGGCCATGCCCGTGAAATTCGGTCTAGCTGCGATCCTTGGCTTTGGTGACAGGCAGTATGCGCGGAGAATGCTGATCTTCAAAACCAATTTAAATATTGGGACGCTGCCATCTGTGGAGTTCAAGGTCTAGCGTATCCTTTCAAACCCTCTCTAGGTTTACAAACTTAATAGGAATTGGACAGGTCTTTCTCCTGTAATTTAAATTTGCAGAGTGGGATTCAAAGCCTTTAAAAAAGGTAAAACCTCTCCTTAGGTTAGTTTGGCACCATTTGGTGCCAAGTAGTCCCTAAGAACTTGCCTTTTCCTTCACAAAGACAAGGTACTTGCCTGTGCCTTCACAGGGGCAAGGTAGCCTTCAACTCTATGCAACCCTCTGTTTTCAAGCTGATGGACAGGCCACCACCTTCTCATTGAATTGCTACCCAAGTTTGCTAGATGAAAGGTAGTTCAGCAGCCAGCTGAAGCTACAGCCAGCCTCTCAGGTGCCATGGAGACACAGCCGTCCACCACTAGATCCCAGGAGGGGATAGGCTCCACCTTTTCTCAAGCGTGCGGCAGGAATGGGAAAGACCCATTGCCTCCTGCTCTGTACCTTGCCTATCTCTGAGTCTGGATGCCTGCTAGCAACATACATGTATCACCATGTGGTGTTTCCATTGATATAATCTATTCGTGTCACCTTTGATCCCAGGAAAAGCTAGCCTTGAAATTGAATCTGGGCATCTGCCCATGTCCTTGGCCAATGGCAGAGGCATCCCTGTAGAGCTAGCAGGCAGCACACTACAGCCAGGGAGCGTTTGGTATAGGAACAACTGAGCAGGACGAGAGCAGCCCTTTTGCTCATTCCTTTTCCTAGTGCAAGAGACTGACCAACCTGTCAGGGGTAGACAGATACTTCTGCTTCTGGAATTTCTTCTCCAAGCCCATCAGCTGGAGCTCCGTGAAGATGGTCCTACTCCGGCGTGGCTTTTTTAACCGAGGCGCGGGCTGCTCTGCCTCCGACTCACTGCTGGCATGGGTCTCGCTGGCAGGCGTCTCTGAGCTCGCAGTCCCTGAGGAAGGCTGGGCTGGCAGCACACGGGAGCTGGTGGCAGCTGGGACGAGGTGAGGGACCACGGAGGGCTGTCTGGTGATGACGGAGATGAGAGGATACGCCCTCAGAGAAGGAGACCCTGGCAGGGAAGGAAGCAGAGGTTGATAAAGGCCAGTTCAGTGGCAATATGGTTAAGTAATGGGAGCACTGGAGAGAGCAGGGAGAGAGGAATACCCTTCCTGGCTCTGCCATTCACTTCTTAAATGACCACAAGCAAGTCAATTCCCCTCTCTGGACCTGTTCCTTCTCCCTAATTGCATGTGTTTAGCTTTCCTTGGGCTGGGAGTCTTGATGTGCGTTTCTCTAGCACAAGGAAAGGAGGGCCTGTGTTTCCAATGCGTCTTTTTTTTTTTTTTTTTTAGGAGCTATTATAAAACACACCGTTGAAGTCTTCTGTCTAATTACCCCATGAGATTAAACTCAGCAAACAATGAGATCTGTCTCGATTCATGCAACTACTCTTCTCCACAGACACTAGGACAGGGTTCACTTGAGATAGTAACGTAATCTCCCTTCACAGGCGACAGACAACAGAGTTCAAGTCACAATTCATCTCATCCTCTAGCAGGTAACTGAAAGAGTCAGGTGAATCACACTTTCATCCTCTGCTGTCTCTACTGACCCCGTTGGCTATACAGGCAGATGAATACATCAGAAGCAGAGTTCTTCACCAACTCTTAACTCTACATCTTATAACAACCAGTTGGTATCAGCCCTAAAAAACAACCCAGCAGTTCTGCTCCAATCCTTTCAGGTCAGGGCCAGTCTGGGATGACAAATCTAAACATTCCCAAACACTAGATGAAGTTCTGATTCACATCACACCTTCTGAATTTACAGCTATAGACAGATTTCTGCCTTAGCCCCAGGAAATCAAACGTTCCTTTAAAATTCAGGCAGGGAAATAGGGCCACGTCCGGGAAATGTACACTCATTGCAAGATGGCACTCTATACAACTTTGCAACCAACCTGCAACCACCCCAAGTCTTGGGCAAGTCACTTTCTTGCCCCGTACCTCAGTTTACCTCATTTGCAAAATGGAAACAATCCTCCTTACCTACCTCACTGGTGGTAAAGCATGGATTAAAGTTTAATGTACATAAGGTATTCAGAGATCTTCAGATAAATCGTATTGTGGAAAGGCACATATTACACCAGCAAGCCCGATTGTGAAACTCTTAATATGAATCACCACTAATGAAAATAACAATCTATAGACCTCAATGAGTCTATTTTGGTGAGTAACTCATCATGGTGGAAGAAAGGAGTTGCCAGCCTGGCCTGCTGATGACCTGTATTCCTTACCCTCCTCCCCCAAGTGAAGGGTTGTGATCGCGTAAATCAGGTCCCAAGTAAGCTGCAGTGCACAGGGCACCTCAAGGAATCGCGCAGATTGTCGATCGTCGCTTCAACCACTGCAGGTTGTGCAAAATCCAGCCACTTATAAAGCAAGTTTGGAAAACCGTTGCCATAACACTGCAAATCCCAACAAACTGGGATTTAAGCAAGACTGTGAGTACAGACTCGAATTTTGGCAGACTGGGACAAGCCTTGCTTTCTCCTCCACATCTCTGCAACACTAAAAAAGTCAAAATATTTCCATTAAATTTAAAGTATTCCACTTAAACCACTAAGGAAGTGCTTGAGAGATGAGAACCGAATTGCCAAGCCAACCTTTAGCTTGTATAAAGCGTTATCTACCTTTTCTTTTTATGGATTTTTTTTCAGCTGAAGACCATGTGGGTCTACAGCATCACCAAATAACCTGGCAGAAATTCTGCCTTGATCTACAACCTCAGTGGCTGTACAAAGATCATAAATTAGGATCGAGCACACTGTCCTTTGCTTTACACTACTAATTCTGCCCTCACCGATATTTATGCACCCATTGACACCAGCCAGCTAGACAGAAGGCAAAAGAGATCCTGCTCCCATAGTCTATATCCTCCTTACCAGTACCCACTACAGTTAGTTCCGGCCATCGTGGGATAGCAAAAGCAATGCTGACCCACCAATGGAACAGACGACTTGCTCTGTTTCAGCCAAATTTGCCGAAAAGAATCACCGCCTCTTCCCTTCTTGAAGGGCACCTCCAGTGCAAGAGTCCGGTGCAGGAACCCTGAAGCTACTTCCACCATAAGACGCTCCTGGGTGAGCGATGAGGTGTGTTGATGGTCTGAATCTGGCAGCAGTCCTGGGACTTGGCCCTTCTGCACCACTGCTCTTCTGCATTACTGCTCTTGTTCACAGAAGCTGTAAGAGAAGAGACCTCAAGGATCCCAGTCCCAACCTGCTCTGAATAAGGAGACTGAAAACTGATGCTCTAGCTTACAGGCAACAAAGGAGTGGATCCAGCCTCATTATACACCCTTATCCTGCTGTTAGGGGTCCTGGTTCAAACCTTCCCATCGGACAGCTCCTGCTCCCCTGCAGCTTCATTCGCCAAGCCTCCCCCCATAGCCTGAAACCCCATTCCTGTCCTTGCACATGGGCGGCTTTTGGCACCAGATCACTGGTTAACTGATACTTTTACCCTCGTGCCCCTCTATATTTCCAGCAGGGCTCTCCATAAACCCCAAGATTACTAAGGAGCAATAAATCACCTGAGCTCAGAAACCCCTGCAAGGCTCCAAGTGACTAAAACCTCTGGACAAAAGCAGTTTTACAAGGGACTCTCTTCAAGGGAGGTCAGCAAAGGGTATTTGATATCAGAGCAATCAGGGGTATTTGCTCTCCCGTATGCCATGGCAGCAGCATGTGGGACTGCTCGGGGTGAGGGGAGGCTAGCTACAATGGTCCCAGAGCTTAAGATCTGCCTCCATCAAACAGAGGAAAGTCTCTTCAGGCTGTTTTTCTAGTTGTCAGGTAGGATCAGGAATAAAAGAACTGTCTTCCTCCTTCCAGGAACAGCAGCGAGAACTTGGCTATTTTAGTAAACAGCGGCTGGTTATTAGAGAAGCAGATGACACTGGAGTTTTTTCAGGTCCACGTTTTCAAGTGCTGAGCACCTGAATGATGGGATATATTTTTCCCGAATGTTCAGTAGCCAGCAGCTGTGACCTGGCCAAATGCTCAGAAAAGCTCAGCACGGGCTTATTTTTGGTGCTCACGTCAGGACACTTATTTACTTATGGCACTTCTGAAACTGCTGTTCTACTTCTGTGCAAGTAGCAGTTTGCAACCACTGAGCTGCTTCGAGCTCCAGGTGGTGAACAGATTTGTGAGGCTGTTGCCACCAAGTGTCTTATATTTGTTTATCATTTACGATCATAAGAGAAGCCTTTGCCTATGGTTTGACACCAACAGTTGCGACAGTGCTTTTAGAAACTATCGTAAATAATGAAGGCATCTGCTGATGTTCAGCCCAGCCATATACAAGACTTCTCAGCTTTCTGCCCTCAGCCTGATGAGGACACAGGATGGTTAGGGCATAGCGTAAGGACAGCATTTAGAGAAAGACGTGGGGTTCAAGGCTGCAGATATTTTCTAGGGGGAAAGCTGCTGGCCAGAAAGGGGGCAATGCTTCAGCAGCCAACTCTCCTTGCAGACAGAGTAAAGCAGAAAAGCTATCCTCTGCATTGCACTAGATAGCTTCTAGATCACAAAGAAAAAAGCCCACATTCAGTGTCCTGTTCTGGATCTAGTTATCCCAAAGTTCAAAGGTAGCTGAAGTTGAGCCAGTCCATTGTCTCTAGGTACACTATTAACATGACTCCCCTTAAACCATCTGTACAACTCTTACCCTGATAAAGCCTTGGCTTCCAAACACTAGGAAATCTGAGGCTAGATCTAAATTTCACATCCCCCAGAGTTCAAAGGTATTTCTAGACTGACATGGTATCGTAAGAATGGAATAATTTCTTAATCTTCAACAAATTAAATACTGGCAAGCAGCTCTTGTCTGCTCAGCACTGTTGTGACATGCTCTGTCTCCCAAAATGGGAAGGAATGGAAATGAAGCACTCTTCCTTTTCGTCTCTGCCTTTCAGAACAGTTTCAGTTGAACGCATACTTTCCTGCGTTGTTGTCCGAGCACCTTTTCCAATCCTGACCCACTGGCCTTTTGCACTTGAATACCAAAAAGCAGCTCACATATGACAGCACATGAGGAATTAGCCTGCTACCCTAGCAAGACACCTCAAGTGTTTTATTGTCTCCATCTAAGCAATGAAAAGACAGCCCAGGCCAACGGTGAAGCCACCAGTGGTTTAGGACTCAGGAGGTCTCAATGCTTTTCACAGGGACAGTGGTCTCTTACTGTATGGTTTTATACAGAAAAGTCCCAGTTTTATCTATTAGACCAGATGTTATCACCCCAAAGTCTAAGGCAGTCTCAGGCTCGCTTTGCTGCTGAATACTTCTCAAATACTTGGGAAGTATTAGTATAATCCATACTTCATACCATGCACAACTGAGGGAGCACTGCTTCGGCAACAGAAGTTTTCCTGTAGTTATTTTTTAAGCATTTGAATAGTCTCAATTTCGAGCAGCGAGAAAGCTCTTATTTCTGTCCATGTCCATAAAGCTAACATCTGGCCGCTCGATTGCTAAAAGTAACCAAGAGCTAAAAATAAAAAGGACATTGGATCTGCAGAGTGTTTTCTAAGGATCTGAAAACATTTTGCTTTGCTATTTAAATCAGACCATGTTGGCAGCCTGCTGTACAGTGAATAACAGACCTGCCCCTTGCACAATGCACTGACCACACCACCTTGAAATGAATTGGCTTACTCAAGCCACGCAGGTCTAGAAGAGCCCTGGGCTCCCATTTCGAGTTACACGTAAAAGATTTGTCCTAGAAATGCATCCCGACCTAACGTATCCAAAGACAGCTTTTTCTCACTTGTTTTGCTTTTCAGCAGTAACACCAAGAAAAAGGACAAAGAATTCATCCCATTTTCTCCAGAAGGTTTCAGTCAGGAATGTCAATTTTTACAAGCCAAAACAAGCCAATATCCCAGGCATAAACCCTCGGCGTGCCGGCCTTTTACTCCCTCTTACCCCAGGCGTGACACGGGGAAAGCAGAAAAGGCTCAGGCCTCCCCACACTGGCTCCAGCTGCAGCTCCACGAGCAGGAA